GGGGGGGGGGGAGTGCTCATGTAGACACATGCCGTAGTTGGTAGACAGTAACCCCCTCATCCCTACAGCGCTGGGACGGAGCGATATGCCGGGTGTTCGCCGGCCCAGACTACGTACCACAACGATAAACCAGAGGCTGGTCATCATCTTTGCGTTTGATGTGCCAATCCAGATATGCCATGGGTTGAATGGGGGGGGTCATCATGTGTTGCGTGCCTTAGCTGCTAGACCATTGACCACGGCGAGCTACTGCTGTGATTGAAGTCTTGCCAACAAAAGGCTGTAAACTATACCTTGAACAGGTCGCTGCTAAACAAAGAAAACACACGCGCGGCGAGCTACTGCTGTGATTCAAATTTTGCCAACAAGGGGATTAAAAGTATACCTTGAACAGGTCGCTGCTAAAATTAAGATAACACACACAACACACTATAGCTGTGATTGGAGTCTTGCCAACGAAAGAGGTTTCAAACCATACCTTGAAAACCGAGAGGCTCTTCTCCGCCTGAACCGGCTTCTTGCACCCACCACACCGCCACTCGTTACCGGAACCCAGCCGCTCTGTCGCGACAAAACGCCTCAGAGCCACCTCTATCGATCGCACCCCCCTCGAGAGGTCCATGGACAGGTCCATGAAAGGGTCGAACGTGTCGCTGCAGTGCCCGCACTTAGTGCACTTGAGCTGAAAAAAAATAACAAACAGGTATAGGGGTAAGAACGTCATCCTCAGGCATACAATGCATGCTTTAGCTATAGTTCTACATTCCGTTCGTCGTATCTATTATGGGCGAAAAAAAACAATGTTACCCCTTGCCGTATGCATGGTGTCTTCGAATCCGGAGCACACGGTAAACGTTATCGCAGCGTGCAAAGAAAAACAAAAGAACGACGACATCTCGACACCGCATGCATGCAGATACGCACACAAACCCGAGCAGACTTCGACGCGAGCCTCAAGCACGCCACCAGAACCTTGGCGTGCAGCGGTCTAACCGACCGCAACAGCAGAGCGAAGAATGAAAACTCTTGCCTTGGGATAGATACTGCTGTGACAAACTGTTTTCGCTTTTGGAAGGGAAGAAAAAAGAAGGCGCAACTGTGTGCACCGTGGTCCACCCAACCCCTCCTTCCAAGTCAAGGCCGTAATACTATACAGGAATGTTTTGGACGAGGGTAGAACTGCGTACCGTAGGTGACATGACATGACACAAGATACCACACACCCCTCGGGCCGAAGCTCATGACTCCACCACTCCACCACAGAGACGATAAGCCCAGACCACAGGACAACACGTACGTTGTCGGTAAGCCGCTCACGACCAAGAGACTGCTGTTCTAAACACCGCCCATTCTTTGGGCACCGTCACCTCTCTCTTGAGGTGTGGCCTCAACCGGACTGTTTGAAAGGAAAATTTGTTCACCGGGGTGGTGTGTTTACCGTAACGCCCCCTCGACGACAGCTACTCTAGTGCTGCTCCAACGCTGCCCATCTTTTTTTTTGGCACCGTCCCCTCTCTATGCGGCGCAGACGTTAGCCGAACTGTTCGAAATGAAGATCGGTCCGAAGACGGGGTGTGCAGTATTTTTCCGTGGCCGTACATCATCTACCGTGGTACGCATCCGGCCTTGTGGCACGCACCCGGCTGCGGAGGTATCCTCCGAAGATGCGGTTGATCGGCGTCGTCTCGGCAAGCCTGCTGGGCGCGGAAGACTTGACCCCCTTGCGCTTGAGGTAGCAGTCCACCATCTTGTCTAGGAGGTGCCGCAGGAACTCGTGGGCGTCCTCCTTTTGGTCGTTTTGCGTCGCCGTCCGGGTTATCGTTGTATCGTTAGCGGGATTTGTTATTGTTTCAATGTTGGCGGACGCGCATACGCTAGGTAGGTGGGGCCCCACCGAGAAGCAGCGCCGTGCAGAAAGGGGCAGGGGCACGGGGCAAACAGAGCCAGCCCTAACCATTCTCTCTCGTGGACAATTTCTTACCAATCCAGTTTCAAGGGTCCAAGTTTGTGTGAGCCGTAAAGCATTCTTGTAAACATACATACAGCAGTGGCATGTCTTCTAGCTTGAATTTTAACGTTTCCTTCAATTTTTTGCCCACCGAACCAACCGCAAACATCGGTGTTCCAAATCAAGCCAGTGCACACCGCTTTGAAAAGACACAACGAAAGTCAACTGTCGTGGAGGTAGTTGATGGAGGCCAGACCGCGGTTTAACCGGTCAAAACTGTCAAGACGACAATCTGTAAACAACTTCGACAACAGCGACCACAACAACAACAACCAAGTCTACTGAACCATGCACGAACCAACATGTGAATGTGGTTCTCCATGAACGTCACAAGAACAACAGCCAGGTCTACTGAACCATGCGCGAACCAACATGTGATTGTGGTTCTCCAGGATCACCACAAGAACAACCAAGTCTACTGAACCATGCGCGAACCAACACGTGATAAAGGCTCTCCATGGCCACGACAAGAACAACAACCAATCCTACTCAACCATGACCACCACAATCAGTCTTCTGAGGAATGCGCGAACCAACAAGCGGTTGCGGTTCCCCGTGAATAACCGCACCTGTCTCCCCTGGCGAAACTGTCTCCCGATCATACGGAGGTTTTGAACCAAAACCTTTGGGCTGATCGCCCCCAGCCCCGTGAACTGCCCCTGGTGCACCTGAACGATTTGTTCCGAGTTCGATTTCGCATGCTGTGCATGTGGTGAGTACCAATATCAGAGACGGCGTCAGCACAACCGACAGAGAAAAATAAAATACCTCGCATACCGCCGTGTGGACCACATCACATCATCTCCTTTCTTTCTCCTTCGTCACTGCACATGTCTGCGCGTGTCACCTATTGTTGCGTCGACCGCGCTTACCGGCTGACCAATGTACAACCTTCTAGTCTCATAGCGGCTGCGTAAGCGGGAATATGTGTGCTTGCGTTTGTGTGTTTGTGCTCCTTTGACTACTGTAGCATCCACCGCGCTACAGTAACCGGCTGGCAATGAAAACACGCAGGTCACATACAGGGGGGGGGGGGG